TATGGGGCCTAATTTTTTTTTTAAACGATAGACTATCAAATACAATGAAAATATATGAGCAGATGAAAACAAAATACATAATCTGGACCTCATAAAAATTAAGTACTTATGTTCATCAAAGGACTTCATCAAAAGAGTAAAAAGCCAACCTACAGACTGTGAAAAAATCTTCAGGAAATGCATATCCAATGAGGGTCTCATATCCAAACAGACATAAAAATTCTACAACTTAACAACAAAAATACAAATAACCCAATCAAAAATGGTTATTCAAGAAATCAACAGACACATGAAAAGATGTTTATTGTCATTAATCATTACATAAAAACTATAGTAAGATACCACTTCCCCCTTACTAGAATGGGCAATGATTAAAAAAACAGAAAATAACAAATATTGGTGAGGATGTGGGGAGATCAGAACCCTTATGCATTGCTGATTGGAACGTAAAATGGTACAACTGTTGTGGAAAACAGTATAGTGATTCCTCAAAAAATTAAAAATAGAACTACCATATGACCCAGCAATTCCACTCCTAGCTATACCCTAGGGACCTAAAAGTAGTGACACAAACAGACACATGCACACTTACGTTCACTGCAACACTATTCACTACAGCAAAAAAGCAGAAACAACTAAGTGTCCATCAACAGATGAATGGATAAACAAAATGTGGTACACACATACAATGGAATACTACTCACCCTTAAAGAGAAATGAAGTCCTGATACATGCTACAACATGGATAGACCTCAAAGATGTTCTGCTGAATGAAACAAGTTAATCACAAAAGGACAAATACTGTATGACCTCACTTAAATGAGAAGACAAGGAAAATAAATATATAGAGACCAGTGGCTGTTAGTGATTACCTGGGTCATGAGGAGGGAGGGAAAGAGGGAATCATTTTCTGGGAAGTAGTGGGTTTATGTGTATAGTGATGGAAAAATTGGCAACAATTATGGGTGATGGTTGCAAAACCTGACGAGCGTAACTGATACCACTAACTTGTACACCAGAAAGAGGGGGAAATGGCAAATATTGTGTTTAAATTTACAACAACAACAGCAATCAAAAAACAAATAAATAAATAGGCTACAGTTGTTGATAATACTTTAGATACATCCAAACTCCTCACGGGATTAAGTGTTCAAAAGTTCGAAGGTGCAGGATCACGGCTTTGAAGGACTGTCCAGCCATTTGGCCTAATACTGTTTTTAGAGTTACTGTTCCACTACCTAGTTCAGTGAGTACTGCCTGGAGTCTTAAAAGTTTGCAAGCGGCCATCCAAGATACAACAATTGGTTTCTATTCACTTGGAGCAGCAGTGGAAGAAGGAGATCCAAGAATCAGAGAAGGAACTGGACTGTAGGTCTAACTGCCTCAAAGAACTATTGCCTCCTCTGCCATGAGACCATAAGAACTGGATGGTGCCTGGTTACCATTACTGAATGGTTTGATCAAGGAATCAATAGATGAATTCTGATAAAAAGGGGCAAAATGTGGAACAGACATTTTAATTTTTACAGAATCCAGATTTACTGGACCTATTGAGACAAGAGGAACCCCTGAAATCTATTGCTCTGAGAAAATCTTCAAACCATGAATGAAAATTATCCCCTGAAGTCATCTTTAAACTAACCAGAAGTTTAGCTAAATTAGTAAATAATGTTTACCATGAGCATTGTGCTCTTTTAAAGAAGTATCTGTATGAGATCAAATTAACAGTAGTAATTCTAAAGCATTGATGGGAAGTTTAGGGGGTAGCAAGTTTAAGTCAATGGTAGTGAAGCAATATAGGTAGACAGCAAGAATGGTTACACAACATGAAGAATGTACCCAATGTTATTAATTTGTACATGTACAAATTGTTGAATGGATGTATGTTTTGCTGTGTATATTTTCACCAAAATTAAAATGAAAAAAAGAAATAACATCAATCACACAGGAACATTTTTGGAAAATAGAGGCGGGATCACAGTTGAGTTCACTTTATGAGGTTAGCACAGCCCTAATACCAAAGCCTGACAAAGACATTACAAAGATATTATAGAGAATCACAGACCAATATTTCTTATTAAGGTAGAGTCAAAATCCTAAAAAATTGTTAGCAAACTGAATCCAACAATATATAAACAGGGATATACATCATGCCCAAGCAGGGTCTATATAATGAATGAAAGTAGGACTGTCCCATAGAGTTTCCAAGGAGTGGCTGGTAGATTCTAACTGATGACCTTTTGGTTAGCAACCAAATGCTTAATCACTGTGCCACCAGGGCTCCATATTCATTAAAGATATCATTAAAGAGTCCTTTAAAAATTATTTATCTCAATCATTTGTTTCTCCAAATAAACAGCTGGAGTTACTCTAGGATTCAGAATGTAATATATGGTATTTGAAAGTTAGAATTCCTTTTTTTTGTTTGTTTTTTTAATTATCTTTGCCTCTAGAACTTCTGTCTTTTATAATTTACTGGAAGCCTTTGGCTAAGAGTACTTTGGTCAGTAGTAGTTGAAAACGTGGAAATCTTTTGGAGAAATCATTTTTATATGCTCTAAAGTTGATATTTTTACCAGCCTATGAAATAAACAGAGGCTTTTACTACATATCTTTCAATGTGTAGCATCAGGTTCAAAAAACAACTTTGAAAAGAATATAGTGTGACAGTCTGAACTACATTTCAAAAACTCTCATCTGACCCCAGTGTGCATGAGTGTGGTGTACTGGAGATTGGAGGAAAGGCGAATTGTGTGTGTGTGTGTGTGTGTGTGTGTGTGTGTGTGTGTGTGCACGTGCGCTTAAGGGGGGGTAGGCATCAAAGGAAACTTCACACAGGAGTAAAAATTTTTTAAAAAATGGGATTAATCTACAAGTTCAAATGTTTTAAATTCAGATAAAAATAGAAGTAACAAGGGTGTGAAACTGTATGAAAGATAAATCCAACCAACAAGTAATTCATGCATTCATATCAAATATTACCTTTTACCTGTTGCTGTCAAGTTGATTCCAACTCATAGCGACCCTATAGGACAGAGCAGAACTGCCCCATAGGGCTTCTGGGGAGCGGCTGGTGAATTCTAACTGCCAACCTTTTGGTTAGCAGCGGTAGCTCTTAACCGCTATGTCAATTACCTTTTAGTATCGGTTAATTTATCAAACTTGAAAATTAGTTAATTGGATTTGGATTACTTTTCTCTTCTTTTTTTCCTCTTTACATATTCTAATTGTATATGATGAACGAAATCTACTCTTAATTTCTGTTTTTAACCTTCCACAGACTCAGTAAATGTGTGTCACAATTGATTAATGTATAAAATCTAATAATCCATTAGTCGTATTATTCGATGTTATTCATTTAGGAGTCCCCGGGTGTCACAAATGGTTAATCACTTGACTACTAGCCTAAAGGTTGGTGGTTCAAAACCACTCAGGGGCGCCTCAAGAGACAGGCCTAGCGATCTGCTTCCAAAAGGTACTCCCTTGAAAACCCTACAGGGCACAGCTCTATTTGGCACGTATGGAGTCACCATGAGTTGTAATTGACTAAATAGCAACTAACAACAACCACAATAACATTACTGCATTTTTATACAAATAACACGGAAGTTTTAAGGTTTTTTGCCAACCATGCCCTCCCTAGCCCTGAGGTATTTTCAGAAGCACACTATGCTAATGTTTTTACAGCACAATGTAATACTCAAGGGGGAGGGTGTGGTTGGAAAAAGAAAGTATAACACATGTTATTTGCATAAAAATACAGTGTTCATTTATGTTCCTGGGAAAAGTGATTGTGAGGGTTACAAAACAAAACTTGGCCTGTGAAACTGACATTTACAAACAGTTTTATTTTAAAATAGGACTTTACAAAACTGGAGATTAATGTGTTTACTTATATTTATTCACCAAAAATATATATGTATTTATTGAGTATCTTTTTGTGTGCAATCAATGCCAAACATTGGAAGATCTGAGAGCGCATTATTATTATATATTAGCTGAATCAGTCTATCATTTAGTTTAGTACAATATAATAGATCAAAATATTTTCTTTACAAAGATATATGTACACGCTAGTGGAGGAAATCAGAAACAAACAGGATCACAAATAGTCTAGCCAATGCTCTGAATTTATAGTATTCTTTATATGAAAATACATACCAGCTCTGTGTGTGTATATGTATATATATGTACATGCACGTACCTGCATATACGTGTGTGTATATATATATTTTCACATATTAACAAAATACAACAAATATTCCATGTGAAACATGTCTATTAATGTACAATAGATTGTACTTTGAAAAATAAATTATTCAGAAATTGTATAAGGACAATCACCACGGTAATGAATTATGTGTCAGGAGTGCATCCCTGGGGTCAGGACTCAGGTCTGTTTGCTCTGTTAATAATTAAATGAAAATTAAAGCATTAGTTATCAAGTCCAGTGATTATGAGGATTAAAAGAAAGAATGTGATTATTATAATTGATGAAATATAATTGGAAAGAAGTTTTTACTATGGAGCTATGGAACTTTCACATTATTTTTTTTTAAAAAGTTATTATAAAAACATAAAGTTCATCTTCTGCAACATGATCTCAGCTTTACCTTGGAAACACTGACAAGAACAGATAAAGGCATAACATGACTTTTACATTTCTCTAAATTCATCTCCCAGTGAAGGAAGTGAAGAAAATGTTCTTTTCTCCAAAGAGAATACAAAGTACTAAGAGTAATGCCATTTGTCCTTCCCAGGAGAACAGCACTCATGTGTCAGATCAACCAATCTCTATAAACATTTCCCAGGCATTACAGTTGCATTGTCTAGTTATTCTCTTACTGAACAATAGAAAACATCCCCACTACACCCACAAAGGAAGAAAGCAGGTCACCTTTTAGAGTTTTTCAACTTTATAACGTACATTGATTGTCATTGGTATTAACGCAGTTCATCTGATTTAATAACATTCAGCTTACAGTTTGGTTCATTTTTACCTCAAAAACTTCTTCATCCAGTATCCTTGTTCCAAAAACCGTGATTCCATTGGTGTCAACATTTCCTCTGTCACTTCTATCAAGTGGTTTTGTGGTTTTCTTCTTACAATCAACAATCATTGTCACAGTTTTCTTCTCCACGCTGATTGCTACCCGATGCCACCTAAAAAAGCAAGTAATTCTTTTGTAAGCTTCAAACACACTGGCTGCCAAACCATTATTCATATTGAAATACTGGGGTATTTTAAATTGTAAAAGTGAGCTGAAATTGTATAAAAATATAGGCTCATTTATTATCAATCAGTTAACAGGTGATCACTTACTGTTTACCCAGCACTGTGCTAGGTACTCAAAGGGACACAAGATGCATGGAAGGATTAACTGTCTATGTTGATAAGAAAAGTGCCAATCCTTTGCTTCACTTTGTGTTGTAGCAACAAAGGCTTAACCTCACCATGTCCTGATGTGGGTATTTGACAGAGATTAGGATGGGATATGGAGTAAGTAATAGTTTCCATGTACGTAAATGCTTTCACCCAAAGTGGAATTCCACTTGAAAAAAATTCTGCTCTGGTGATCCCCTGAGATTGACTGTAACAGGGTATGTCTAGTAATTGAATAACTGCTCCATCAGCAGCTACTAAATGTTCTAATTGTAAAACACAATGTGCTTCTCTGTCTTTATTCACATTTATTTCAAGTGCTTTCGTTTTCTTTTTCCACTTTAATTTCAAGACAGTTATAGATCACTACTGTGGGCAGGATCCAAGACCCAGACACAATATCTCTCCTTCTTTCCAGGGCTGGCAGGAAGTGGGAACAACGAAAGAAAGCACAGTCAATGGATGTGTGGAATGAGAGTCTCAATTCACTTTGCAGCTACTGAGCTAATTTAGGGCAGGCCTTCAAACTGGTTTGTTCTGGTTCAAACACCTGTTGAGAACTTGCATTTCTAACAAGTTTCCTGCTGAAAATTTGCATTTCCACCCCAGATGACTGAAACAGAATCTACAGTTTAACAAGATCCCCAGGTGATTCTTATGTATAACTTCCTGAGAACTTGTTATAAACAAACCAGTTTAGAAGCTTTGATTCAGGGCAGTGATGACAGCCATAGAGGGAGATATGGCTAGCCCTTTGGAAGCATTCATATCCTAACCATAGTGTAAAACAGTGGGTTTTATTAACGGCACCTGGTGCTAACAAAAACCACAAGTGAAGCTCACTTGTATTTTGCAAGCCAATCTGGCTACGTTTTGTTTTTTAAATAAAAATGGTTACATTAATATTCCAGAAGTGTCTAGGACTAGATCCATAAAATAAAGTACCCAAAACATTGCAGGAACCTTCCTAAAATTTCTGTTTCATGTGACTTGGTGTAACTACTGATGAGGACCAAGCGTATTTCCATATATGCTTAATCTTTGGTCTTTCCACTAACACACAACCAGCATGGGCACACAACTAACTTGGTTTGAAATAAGCGAAGATTTACACAAAGAGCTACCTAATACAGTGAGAGTAAAATTTACACACATTTCTGCTGTGTATGGAGTCTATGTCTTAAACCATCCCCAGTATTTTAAGTATATTTTTCTTCAGCAAAAAATAAAAATAATCTCAAATGTCAAAAGCTGATTAGTACTCTAAAATCTACATATATGGGGATTTTTTTTTTTACTATTTTTTTTATTGTACTTTAGATGAAGGTTTACAGAACAAATAGTTTCTCATTAAACAGTTAATACACATATTGTTTTATGACATTGGTTAACAACTCCATGACATGTCAACACTCTCCCTTCTCGACCGTGGGTTCCCTATTACCAGCTTTCCTGTCCCCTCCTGTCCTCTAGTCCCTGTCCCTGGGCTGTTGTGCCCCATTAGTCTTGTTTTGTTTTATGGGCCTATCTAATCTTTGGATGAAGGGTGAACCTTGGGAGTGACTTCATTACTAAGCTAAAAGGGTGTCCGGGAGCCATACTCTCAGGGCTTCTTCAGTTTCCATCATGCCAGCAAGTCTGGTCTTTTTTATGTACTAGAATTTTGTCCTATATTTTTCTCCAGCTCTGTCCAGGACCCTCTGCTGTGATCCCTGTCAGAGAAGTCAGTAGTGGTAGCCGGGTACCATCTAGTTGTACTGGACTCAGTCTGGTTGAGACCATGGTAGGTGTGGTCTATTAGTCCTTTGGACTAATCTTTCCCTGGTATCTTGTTGTCTTCATTCTCCCTTGCTCCCGAAGGGGCGAGGCCAGTGGAGTATCTTAGATGGCTGCTCACAGGCTTTTAAGACCCTAGATGCTACCCACAAAGGTAGAATGTAGAACATTTTCTTTATAAACTGTATTATGCCAATTGAGCTAGATGTTCCCCGAGACCATGGTCCTCAAAGCCTCGGCCCAGCAATTCAGTCTTTCAGGGAGTTTGGATGTGTCTGTGGAGCTTCCATGACCTTTCCTTGCACAAGTTGTGCTGGCCTCCCCAGTATTGTGTACTGTCTTACCCTTCACCCAAGTTACCACTTTAGTGTTTAGTCTATTTAGCGTCCCCCACCCCCACCCCTCCCCTCCATCGTAACCATCAAAGATTGTTTCTTTCTGTGTGTAAACCGTTTCATGAGTTTTTACTGCAGTGATCTCACAATATTTGTCATTTTGTGATTGACTTATTTCACCTTGTGATTGACTTATTCCACTCAGCATAATGTCCTCCACTTTCATCCATGTTATGAGATGCTTAGCAGACTCATCATTGTTCTTTATCATTGCATAATACTCCATTGTGTGTATGTACCATAGTTTGTTTATCCATTCATCTGTTGATGGGCATCTAAGTTGTTTCCATCTTTTTGCTATTGTGAACAATGCTGCAGTGGACATGGGTATGCATATGTCTATTCATGTGACAGCTCTTATTTCTCTAGGATATATTCCTATGAGTGGGATTGCTGGATCATATGGTATTTCTATTTCTAGCTTTCTAAGGAAGCACCATATCATTTTCCAAAATGGTTGTATCATTTTGCATTCCCACCAGCAGTGCATAAGAGATCCAATCTCCCTGCAACCTCTCCAACATTTGTTATAAAATCTGTATTTCTGTAGAAATAATGTACAGTTGGATATTAATGATATATCATATTATGGTATCTGTTTATTCAGAATACTAAACTAACATTTAGTTTCAGAGTCATTTCTATTTATTCTCTCTCTCTTGGACCACACAATCAGATCTTCGGAAAATCCCATCAGTTCTCATGTTCAAAGTATATACAGACTTCAGTGTTTCTCAACTTAATCCAAGTCTCCATCCTTCTCACCCAGACTCCTAACTAGTCTCTTTCCTTTCACTTTTATACCTTTAAAATCTACAAATCTGTTCTCCCCAGAGTAACCAGAGAGACCATTTTAAAATATGTTTGATCAAATCTCTAGCCTGCTAAAAACCATCCAATACTCACAGTAGAAGACAACGTCCTTACCTTGCCTGATAGGATGGTCTCCTGCCCTTCTCTGACCTCATGTCCAACTTCTATTCCTTGCTGTTCCATGTACACATTGTTCCCTCTGTCAGGAGTGTTCTTACCCCATATCCCATATGGCTCTCATTCCCTCACTTCTTGATGTTCTTTACCTAATGTAACCTCATCAAAGAGGATCACCTTATCTAAAATAGAAGGCACAACTGTTAAGTACTCAGCTGCTAACTAGAAGGTTGGTGGTTCAAAGCCACAGTGGGAGAAAGACCTGGTGATCTACTCCCATAAAGATTACAGCCTAGGAAATCCTGTGGGGAGGTTCTACTCTGTCACTTGGGGTCACTATGAGTCGAAATCAACTTGAAGATACCTATGAACAACAACACCATCCCTTACCCTGCTTTATTTTCATTCATAGAACTACCAGAACTTGGCATTAAATATTTATATGTTTGTCTATCGTTTGTCACTGCTACTAGAACTTAAGTTCCAGAAGTGGAGAGACTTCCTCAGCACTCTGAAGATAACCACTGCCTGCCATGTGCTGGGTAGTCAAGCAATATTAATGGAATAAATGAATTGATTATTGTTCTTAACAATTGAAAGTGTGCTTCAGTAACAATAAATTTTGTATTTAAAATGTTACACCAGTTGATTTCTATTAATTGTCCCCTGTTCATAGTATAGTGTCTGGCACATAGTTAGCATTTAATTAACTGTTATTGAAAGCATAAATAAATAAATAACAAATGAATATTATTATCTATTAATTTTATTCAATATATTGTCAAAGTAATATCTTACTACTGTGAGATATGTAAATATTGTACAACTTCTTGTTCTGCTTGATAATCTATCAAAAATATTTATTGACCACTCACCTGGACTAAAATTTTAGCTTGGTATTTTCTAATTGTCAAAGAAAAAAATGCAGTCAGCTATAACATTTTATTTATCCACAGGATAATGTGAATTACTCATAAAAGCTTGGATTTTTCTGGCACAGAGACTTGAAGATTTCTCCATTAATCCTGACAAGTTCCACTGAGTGGGCATTTTTTCCCATCTGCACTGCTCTTTGCTTCTGACATCTATAACCAAAAGTCATATTTCTAATAAAACTGTCTATTTTTACAGATTTAGATTTAGCAATAAAATATCAAGTAAATTTAACAAACCTTTATGTATTTATTTGCTCGCTAAGTTAAAGGCAATGTTCACAAAAAATTTTTTTTTGTAAGTTGACATTTTAATTCTGATTTCAGGTATATTTCTTGTGTATTTAAGCAAATTACGTTACTGCGTTTGTATCAATCCATTCGATTACTGAGATAATCTTAAATCTGATACAATGTATATAATTACTCCATTTGAAGAAAAAAGATTCACGTGTATATATATCTATGAATTTTCTAAAATTAAATTTGACTTTAAAAATGGGACTCCTTCAGGTATGTATTCAATTCACTAGCACCTTGTTTCAAGCCATCATCGTCCCTCATCAAGATTATTGTAGAATGGTCCTAACTGTTCTCCCTTCTTTCACTTTTGCCTTCCTGTGCTCTGTTCTCAAGACAGAATTCTGCGTGATTTTCAGAAGTACGCAGTGGTTACTGGCAAGCCAGCCTACCAGACTTCAATCTTGTCTTTGTTACTTTCCAAATAAATGACCTCAGGCAAGTTACTTAAATTATCTGTGCCTCAGTTCCCTTATCTCAAAAATGGGTTTATTACTATTACCTTCCTCAAAAAAGTTATGAAAAATTAAACGAGTTAAGTATGTATAAAATGCTTAGAACAACACATTGCACACATCAAGTATTACATAAGTTTTCCTAAGATCCTCATCATTAATATTATTACTAAAAGATAAGTTAGATCAGATCACTCTTTTACTCATCAACTCTACCAAAAAACCAAACCCAATGCCACTGAATCGATTCGGACTCATAGCGACCCTTTAGGACAGAGTAGAACTGCCCCATTGGGTTTCCTATGCTGTAATCTTTACAGACGCCAACTGCCACATCTTCCTCCCATGGAGCAGCTGATGGGTTCAAATTGCCGACCTTTTGGTTAGCAGCATAGCGCTTAACTACTGAGCCACCAGGGCTCCTTCATAAACCCGATAGTGATTTCCCATTTCCCTCAAAGGAGAACCCAATGTGCTTATAACCACCTACAATGTGTTGCACCACCTGACCTCCCACTGCTTATCCATACTCATGGTCCCTCTTTGCTCCTGCCATGGCTGCTTCCTTGATGTTGCTTGGAAAAATCAGCCACACTCTGGCCTCAGGGACTTTCTATTTCCTTCTCCCTCCTAGAATGCTATTCTTTCAAACATCAGCACAATGTGGCTCCTACCTCCTTCAGGTCTTTCATCACAGGTCACCTTCTCAGTGAGATTGTCCCTGGCCTCACTGCTTAACCCCCCACCCCCCACCATTGCCTGTTCTTTTCCCCACTCTGTTTTTCTGTCTCACTTATCATCATGACCTTATATACTATTTATCAGTCATTTATTATCATTATTTTAATTTTTCATTATTTTTCTGCCCAAACTACGAAGTAAACTATGTAGGAGAGAGATTTTATTGCTCTGTTCATTGACAGGTTGCCAGGTCCTAGAAAAACTGCATCACACTTAGTATTTACCGAATGACGGACTAAAATTACTGCTTTCAGAAGAGTTAAACGACGCTATTGTCATGTCACTTACTTCCCATCTGCGATGTTAACAGTTCTGAAGAGAGGATAGTCTTCGGGGGCAGGTTTTCCAGTGTGGTCTTCAAACAGGAAAACAGGTGATCTTCCAACTTCAACACCGATTTGCTGAATACCGTGTTCATTATATATGGATAAAAGGAAGGACTGAGTTCCCTTTTTCGGTTTTACTGTGAATAATATTGAAAAATCTTCTGGAAAAGGTCCACCTGAGAAGAGAAGGCCAAAGAGTCATAAATTCAGAAGTTCCAAACTGTTCCTGGACCACCCTAGTATCCTTGAACTTTCTGAGTAGCCTTGATAAGTCATCTAAGTTCAAATAGCAATAATAGTATAGATTAAAGACCAAATGAGGGGGGCTCTATGAAGCTTTCTCTGTAATATTGATTCAAAGCATATTCAAATACTAAAGTCACTAATTTAAAGCATAATAATTATGTAACACTGAATTCAAACATAGGAAGCAAGATCACGGCACCAGTACAATATCAGATAGTTCCTAGTGTCAAGTTTTTACTTTCTGCCTTTATCTAATTTACGGCTATACATTCTCTCATTAAAGAGACATTTTAATAACACAGTATATGAAGATATTCTTTCAGTCATCACTTCAAAACCTAAAGCATTCTTTAGCAGTCTTTCTTATCACAAAATGCAATTTCATTAATAAGCAGCACTGATAAATATAAATCAAAACCACTAGATACTTGACTAACTAGACTCTAAGTTCAAGAAGGTAGACTTTTTTCCTTTCCTTTTCATTATGATATCTGAAATACCAGCATAGTGCCTGATCTACATAAATGCTCAGTATTTATTAAATAAATATATCAGTTGAATGATTAACATATATGTATGTCCAATAGTTAAGTAATGACTACTGATTGTATTTTAATAAAAAAAAAAGACTATATATTAAACTGCAGGTTTTATTTTTTAAAATAGTGATAGATGTGTGTTGTGTATATATGTGTATATATATATATATATATATGTAATTTGATCCTCTTAGCTACTCTGGCACATAAGTTAAGTGGGTATTAGTATTATTATTTGAAGAATAAGACAACTGAAATTAAAAATTCTCCATTCTGCAAAAAATCGAAGTGTGTGGAGCCCTCATGGCACAGGGGTTCAGTGTTCGGCTGCTAACCAAACAGTAGGCAGTTTGAATCCATCAGCTTCTCCTTGGAAACTCTATGCGGCAGTTCTACTCTGTCCTGTAGGGTCGCTATGAGTTGGAATTGAGTCAATGGCAACAGGTTTAGTTTTGGGTTTTGGGTATGTGCTGACCATATCTGGGCCAACACCGAGAGCATCTTTATGTGATCTATTCATTCCCAATTCAATTATAAACAGTAGTATAAAATGAAAAAAGTAGCATGAATATGAATATCTGTCATGTATTCAGACTCAAAAGATTACAGCAATCCACAATTTCAACTTTCAAGAATTGGGTGGTAGGAGGCAGAGAGGCTGCTAAGTCAATTCATCAGAGCCTTATTTATAAAAGAAAAAAGTTAAAATTGCCTGCAATGGCTAGGTCTGGTTAAATAAAATACAAAGCATATATATATATATATATATGTATATATATATGTATGTATGTAAAATGGATTCCTATTCAGCCACTTGGAGCCCTGGTGGCACAGTGGTTAAGAGACTGGCTGCTAACCAAAAGGTTGGCAGTTCAAATCAACCAGCTGCTCCTTGGAAACCCTATGGGGCAGCTCTATTCTGTCCTATAGGGTCACTAAGAGGCAGAATCAACTCGACAGCAACAAGTTTGGTTTTTTGATTTATTCAGCCACTTAGGATAATGTTTATGAAATTGAAAAATACTAAAAGTATATTATAAAATGAAAAATAATATGCAGTATTAGCACATTTTTTTGTTCCAAATATATACATAAAATAGTTAACTGGAGCACAGTACAGAAGCTCAATTAAAAGTTTGAGTTTGTCTCAAAACTCAGTCCCACCACATCCTTGCTGTGTGCTCTTGGCAAACTCTTTTAGCTGGCCTCCTTTTCTAACAATGGGCTGATAATGTTATCTGTTCTACAGAGCTGTAGTGGAAATTAAATGAGAATGTGTCACAAAGCAAGCAGTCAGTTAACATAAACTATTTATCCTAATCATTTAAATATATGTTTCAAATACATATACATCTCCAAACTAAAAGGTGACTATGTTGAAAGTCTTAATCTTTATTTTTAAATAATTTACCAATACAACATTGCTATCTCACAGAGATCATCTGAGCTTTGATATCACATCAATGATTGATATTTTTCTATTTCATTTGAATCTCACAGAGACATTCAATTTTATATTCATGAAATCAGTAAAAGACAATCGTTGAAATAAAACGGAAATGTAGCAAAGCATGTCAATGAACAAGAAGTTTTTTATCTGCTGATACTCTAAATATATATATATACCTTGGTATTTAAGTCTATTATTAAGGAAATTCCATAACAAACCATTTTTCTCCCAGATGAGTAGCTCAGAATGTTAAAAATCACAGAAATTCTTAGTACCATAAATGTACCTCAATTTTTCAAAAATCTAATATAATGCAAGACAATGACACTGAAACATTATGAGATAGGTGAAAACAATATTTCTTCATTTTTATAAAAAATGTTATGAAAAATGTCTACATAGAGATATTTGGGAAAGAGAATTTTAGGAAATATTTTCATATAAGAGTAAATAGCTTACAAAAATTATCCTATTTATACTCCTTATGAACAGAGCATAGCTTTTTAAAATCTTCGACTTCCTAACTATACTAATAAGTAAAATCTTTAAATGATGGAAATCTTTCTCAATTTAAAATTAAGCAATAAAGTTTTAATTATAATCTTTAAGCTATGAGCATTAAAATAAAAAATTTAGCTATCCTAAAATACATGACTTGGTGCTGAAATTTTTAGAGTCTAATGTATGTCCCAAAAATCCAAAAAAAAAAACCCATTCCTGTTAAGTCAATTCCGACTCATAGCAACCCTATAGGACAGAGTAGAACTGCTCCATAGGGTTTCCAAGGCTGTAATCTTTACGGAAGCAGACTGCCACATCCTTCTCCCAGAGCCGCTTATGGGTTCGAATTGCCAACCTTGTGGTTAGCAGCTGAGTGCTTAACCACTGTACCACAAAGGCTCCTTCTAACCTAGGTACCCCACTTGAAGCTCCTGCCTATAAGATGCTAATGAAAATTGCTCATAACTCATTAAATTTATCAGAGGGAATTCAGAAATATGACCACTTAAACTTTGATATTTTATCTGAAATAATAATAATCCGTATATATGGTACAGATCAAATGTGGAGTTTTTCAACCTAAATATTTCATGTTTTGAAATATAATACATCTCAAGGATAAAGCATATTGTCTCTTAAACAATTGCTATTAATGAAAAAATGCTATGACTACCTCATAATTAGCCTTTAATATCTGCATATACATAAAATCGTGTGCGCATGTGCGTATGTAATAATCCTATCTCACTCTGAGCATTTCAAACTTAATAATAAAAAAAAAAAAATGAACATTGTCATCGAGTTGATTCCGACTCATAGCTGCGCTATAGGACACAGTAGAACTGTCCCATAGGGTTTCCAAGTAGCAGCTGGTGGATTCAAACTGCTAATCTTTGGGTTAGCAGCCGAGCTCTTAATCACTGCGCCACCAGGCTTTAAAATTAATACATGGGTGCATACATGAATAAATGTGATAGGAAATGGCACAGTAACTTTATTATTTGATTTTAATTTTTTAAGTGATGCTCAATATCTTCCCAGACAGAATAAGTCTCTCTTTAACTAAAATCTTTTTCTGAGGCAGCTTCATGATCAGCAGGATTTTCAACCTGGGGAGGAAAGGCCATTTGCATGGTGGGAAGAATACAGCTTTAGTCAAAGAAAGACCAGGATTGTCTCCGAGCTTCACACTAGTCACTGGCTGTGTGATTATTTTGAAGTACTTCATCTTTCTAACTTCCAATCCATAAATTGGGTTTAAAGATCCCCCCTCCTAGATGGCTATGAAGATAAAGATTAATAAATATAAAAAATCCTTTGCACAGTGTCTGTCTCACAGAAGGTGCTCTAAAGAGGACAACTACTATTAAGATAAATTTGTAAATTACAGCTTCTATTCTGCTCACAAGCACAAAGTTTTCAGACATTTAAATTAAAGGTCTCAAATTGGGACTTTGGAGGACACATAACTTAAATTCTACCAGTACATTACAATGACTGTATTTAACAAATGCCCACCCCCGCCCCAGTGATGCTGGTTGCCGTTTCCAATGCTACTGCTTACTTTCTTCATTAGAGGAGGTTCCTTTTATGTCTTTCCGTTATGGGAGAAAGAGTGTTCCAAATATATTTTTTAAAGATTTTTTTTTACTTATTTTAAAAAGAACATTCATTATTTGGGTTTTGTTTTAATGGGGGATCTTTCATTAGTGATTTTTATTAATTGTCATTTTGCATTATCTGACAGTTCCTTCCAAGAACAAAAAATATACTGTCTTGTGTTGTAATTTTTAATGCCGTTTTATAATATTGCTTTTATTAGAAAACAGTTTTATGTGAAAATAGAAAATTTAGATTTCTACAGGTACACAGTAGGTATGATAATATGGAAAATCTGAATGATAAGCTGTTTCTGAGACTATCCCAAAGCAACAAAAAGGCATAATTAATATACAGAAAATATCAGTCTTGGAGCAGATCAGACCCGGTTTAAATGTTGACTCCATATAACATGGACAAGTCAGAGAACCTCTGTGAACCTCAGTTTCCTCTTCTATAATATAAGGATAAGGCATCTGACTTAAAGGAAAGTTATACGGATAAATAATCGACATGACAGGCAAGTATACGAAACGAGTTAGATGTTCAGAAAATGTGATGCTCAGAAAATGTCAGTTCACCTCTCATTCCCCTTCCCCACATCATCATGATTTCTAGATAATTAATGTTATTAGGTCTATTAGTATTTTCATGGAAGAAAAGAAAATATTCACCAAGTATTTTCAAAACAATTATGAGAACCTACCTGGTAAAGTCTTACAAAATCTCTAGCCCCTGACCCCTGGATAACTGAGATGTGACTTTTATTTATTTCGATAAAAACTGCATCCAAATATGCTATAATACATTTTATAACATCTACCAAAGAAGTATGTCTTGCAACAGAAGACTTCTACATTAATTTTAGAAAAACATTTATTATTTCTAAATCTATATACCCATTAAATTAACCTAGTAGTCATTAATGAGTAAAGTTGCCAGATTCCTCCATGAGTAAGTTCTACGTGATTATACACAAAACAGCACTGGAGATAATGTTGACTTCTAGTTTTGCCATCTTGAAATAAATTTAAATTTTTAAATAATCATAGTTTCTGTGACTGTACTAAGACTGGTAGTTTTTAAATTATTAGTTATTTTGATTATGTCATCTTGGTGACCCTGATTTACTTTCTATTTCTACCTATAATTGTCCATTATATAGCACGATAAAAAGAAATAATAACAATTACTAAAGACATAGAAATAACAATAATAATAAAATGAACATACCTGGAAATAATTGCTTTGTTGGAGCACTGAGTTGTGCTTGCTTTGAAACTCTGTAAGCAATATCTGAACCTTTTGAATTCTTTCTATTTGTGCAAAATCCAGTTGTTTTTGATATTCCCTCTGGAGAACTGTGAAAATCTAGTGCTTTTAGTACATCAACTGGAGCAGCTGAAAAATAAGTAAAAAATAAGAATAAATTGAACAAATAATCTAATAAAAATTAGCGTTTTTAACAGAGGAAATAGTTTGTCATTCCTCTCCTCAAATCTATTTATCACTTGCCCACTTTGCCACAATTCCCTAACATTTGAGGGAGAGGATAAGGGGAAGGTGTGAGGAGGTGGAGGGTCAGGTAAAAATAAAACCATAATAATGTTCTCAAATAAAAATATCTCAAATCTGGAATAAAATTACTGAAAAGCAAAACAGAAGATTTGCTTGTTGATCTATACGGGATTTGTAGTTGTCATTGTTAAATGTGGTTGAGTTGACCCCATGTCACACAGCAGAACAGCCCATAGGGTTTTTCTAGGCTGTAAACTTTAGGGAAGCAGATTGGCAGGTCTTTCTCCTGCAGAGAGTATGCGTAGGTTTGAACCGCCAACCCTTTGTTTAGCAGCCGAGCACTTACCTGTTGCACCACCAGGGCTCCCTATTATGATATTTAATATAGCCTAATAGGAGCCCTGGTGGCACAGTGGTTAAAGCACTTGGCTGCTAACCAAAAGGTCGGTGGTTCAAACCCACTAGCCCCTCCTCAGGAGAAAGATGTGGAGAAAAGATTTGCAGCATTGGAAACCCTATGGGGCAGTTCTACTCTTTCCTATAGGGTTGCTATGAGTTGGAATTGAATCAAGGGCAGTGGGTTTGGTTTTTTGGGTATATAAGAATTTACCAATATTCTGATGCATCTCGATTACAATTTATAAAATATTTAATCATCCCAAGTAATGGCATACTTGGAATAAAAGTGAATGCCAACACCTTTACATTTTCCATTTATTTCTAATAAATCTTCTATTCAACTATTCATAATCCAAACAAAGACGATTTTGAATTTTCAAATTTACGATAAATAGTATACTTAAATATCGCAAAACTTATAGTTACTAGGCCATATCATAAAAACAAAGAGAAGCGGAAAGATGTTAAAAAAGATAGATAACACAGTAAAATTCCGTTGACTTGAATGCTTTCCTTGTTAGAGTGTCTAACACAAGACTCTGTTTATAGCTGAATCTAGGCAAAAGCATGCTGTTGTTCTTAGGTGTCATCGAGCAAGTTCCAACTCATGGTGACCCTATGTACAACAGAAAGAAACACTGCTCAGTTCTGCACCATCCTCACAATCACTGTTATGCTTGACCCCATTGTTGCAGCTGCTGTGTCAATCCATCTTGTTGAGGGCTTCCTCTTTTTCGCTGACCCTCTACTTTACCAAGCATGGTGTCCTTCTCCAGAGACTGGTCCCTCTTGATAACATATCCAAAGTATGGAAGACAAAGTCTTGCCATCCTTGCTTCTAATGAGCATTCTGGCTGTACTTCTTCCAAGACAGATTTGTTCATTCTTCGAGCAGTCCATGATGTATTCAATATTCTTCGCCAACACCATAATTCAAAGGCATCAATTCTTCTTTGGTCTCCCTGTCCAGCTTTCACATGCATATGAGGCGATTGAAAACACCATGGCCTGAGTCAGGCCCACCTCAGTCCTCAAAGTAACATTTTTGCTTTTTAACACTTTAAAGAGATCTTTTGCAGCAGATTTGCCCAGTGTAGATTGGCAGACTGGCAAAAGCATAGATTTCCCAAATCCAATCCATACCAACTACTGCCAGTTACAGTGATATGGCCAATATAAGTTTGGAAACTTAAACTTCCCCTTTGTGAATTGGACCCATTTGGATAACTTGCTTTCTTAGATACTCAAATTCCCTGGGCTTTAACTATATACCTAATTAAATCAGTAAGCAAGTCAAAATATGAATCACGTAGTGTAAGCACTGTTATATTCAGACTTTAGAATCCATGCTACTCAATATATTTATATGCTACTGGCTTTCTACCTCTATTCAAAAATAAACAAAATATCCAGAGCAGGCCATGCGCTGGCCAAAGAACCACTTAGCATACACGAGATCTAGTCCTTAAATCATGTATTTAGATTCTAATTGGGGAGGCACTACGTATGCCCAGTAAGTATGGAGAAGGCAGTATCTACATTTCCTTAGACGTACACACTGCTGTATGGTTCAGAGGTAAAACAGACCACTTCTGGCTGAAAGTTACAACTAACATTACTAATTTGAAATGTTTCAGTGGTTAAAGAACAAAATAGAATTGTCATCATATTTCAGAATAATTCAGCTGATAACCAAAAGGTTGGGGGTTCAAACTCACCAGCCACTCTGCGGGAGAAAGATGTGGCAGTCTGCTTCCATAAAGATTACATACAGCCTTGAAACCCTGTGGGGCAGTCCTACTCTGTCCTATAGGGTCTCTATGAGTCAGAATGATTCAACAGCAGTGGGTTTTTTGGTTTTGGGTTGTGTTTTGTGAATAAATTGATCCTGGGAGGACTTAATGAGAATGAAAATGGGACTCATTCTAGAATCAGGAAATACCATCATCACAATTTATCACACTTCACAAAGTAGAGGGTAACCTACAATAGGGTTTTGTTCTTTGAAAATTATAATTTCAACCAATTTTTGCTTACAATAACTATCAGTCTGTTGTAGAATGTATGAATAATTGAATAAATGCTTGTAAACAATGTGCATTTGATCATTTCCTTAGTTATTTAAATTTTACAAGCATATAAAATGTATTATATAAACAACAATGAATGTTCTTCCCTTTAATACTAAAGCCCCTGTCTACCTATTTCATCAAGCTTCTGAAAGAAAATCCATTTGGAGTACACATTGGGTCAAATTATTAAAGAAAGGAAAAAAAACTATTCTTAAACGAGGTCAAAGATTTTGAAGGGATTATTAACTCAATCAAATAAGGTACTTTAGTTCAGCTTTGGAATATTTAAAAGAATCATAATGGCTTTCAAGAAAATTGTCTGCACTAGCTATGCTTGCAATGGCCAGTTTTTTAGGCTAATAGGATACCTAACCATTCTTACTTTCTTCTTTTCTCTTACTATAAAGCTAAGAAAATACAAATTATAATAACTGCCACGCTCAGAGCTCCTTAGGTGTGCCAGTCACTGAGTTAAGTTTATCACATACGTTCACCTTCATCAGACTTGCAGAGTGTGTGTTCTTATCCCCACTGTACAGACATGGGAATTGAGCACCAGAGAGCAAACTAAATAAACCGTGCAAAATAAAAACTTGAAAAATATATACAAGCAGTCCCATGATTACAAACAAGTTCCATTCCTAAGCCTGTCTTTAAATCGAGTTTGTATGTAAGTTGGAACAGTTAGGTATGGTTCGTATCTAACGTCAAATGTTTTTCTTAGTGTATAGCATATAGTGTATCTTTCTATGCATAAAAAACATTAAAGAAACCCTTCCAGGTACACTAAAACACCTTTAACATAATAATACAGTAATAACAATATTTTGATGCACGTCACAAGTATCACCCGTTTGTTATTACGAACCATTGTACATACCACAAATTTTTAATAGGCTTTTACAGTTGATTCGTAACTATGGGTTGTACGTAAGTCGGATGTTTGTAACCCAGGGACTGCCCGTGTATTGGAACCAAACCCATTGCCATCGAGTTGATTCCATCTCATAGTGACCCTATGGGACAGAGCAGAACTGCCCCATAGGGTTTCCAATGAGTGACTGGGGGATTCAAACTGCTGACCTTTCGGTTAGCAGCTGAGCTCTTAACCACTGCATTCTCAGGGCTACAATGTACTAAAATTATCTTGAGCCAATATGATTCCTGCTGTTTATATTTGTTTTAAATTAAACTCATTATGTTACAGGGTATAAATTATTCTGAAGCAGAATGTTTCTAAAAGCCAAGGTATCTTATCTGTTTATTTTATCTTATCTTCTTGCTTTGAAGCCATTCTCAAAAGAATAGCTGAATAGTGTAAAGACTCCAGGGTAGACATGAACACAGCTATGAATGTATAGGTCTTCCGTGAAGTAAAGAGTACAGCCCCATTGTTTTGGTCACAACAAGACATACATAAATAATACAGAAAATGGATCACAATTTTCCTTCTCTCCAAAGTTGACTTTCACATGATCACCTTGTCTAAGAGCACAGAACATTTGTTTCTTCCTACTTTGAAACTAATGAGATAAAAACACTCTCCAGGATTCAAAATAAGGGCTCTATTTTTAAAACTTGACAAAGTTCTTTGTAGAGACACATGGCATCTTGTAAAAGTATAATATTTTTTAAAAATCATAATTTATTCCCAAAAAGACAATAAAAATTAGAAATGAATATTTCAACTTTTTTCTTAATATGCATATAACGTTACCAAAAAAAAAAAAAAAAATTCAGTTAATCAAGTCCTAAATTTTTTTCCATGTGGACTAAATAATAAATCAAGTCACTTTGCAATTCTGCTTTTTATTTGATCTAATAAGCATAATATTTAATAAATCCTCATAATAGAGATTCTATGTTTAGAATCTATGTGCGCACACACGCATGCACACAAACTATTCTTCATATCTAGTCAACTGAACTGCAACTTTTTGATTAAAAGCAAATGTGCATTATGGCTTAACTCTATATAGCTAAAAAAGCGAAATTCTTATATTCAAAGAAGTTCTTAAATGTCGTCAACGTTTTAACTGCTTCTTTGTTGCCAATACCGGTGACACAGACCATGATTCTCTTTCAAATGTATCCAATTCAATACAATATTTTGTTCAATAATATTTTCCTGCATTTTACTGTCATCTGTTAACCAAACCAAAAACCAAACCCGCTGCCTTTAAGTGATTCTGACTCATAGCAACCCTATAGGCTGACTAAATGGAGGAAGAGGACATCAGAGCCCATTGCATTACTACAATAACCATTTAACTGGTCTCCATGCCTTTTCAGTCTGAGAGAGCTTCCAAAAATTCAAACATGAACATGTGATTCTGCTGCTTAAATTCTTTCAGAGAACTCCACTGACTTCCAGAAGACATCCACACACCTTGCATATAATATCATCAGGAT